GAGTCAAGCTGTGCACACATCAGCCTGGAGCCACTCACTGTGGAGGGGCTTTGCTTCCAGCCCTGAAATCTCTGGTACCAAGAGTGTGACTGCCCAAGAATGGTCAGACAGAAAAGTTTCTGTAACATCTGTTCCATGATCTTGCTGGGCACAGAGGTGAGACTGACCACCCAGTAGCTTCCCCAGTCTTCCTTTATTCTGTTTTTAAAAATTAAGGTTCCCATCACTGGAACTTGACTGGACTGCCACAACTTCTCAAATACAATGGATAGTGGCACTGCCACTTCATCTGTCCCTTGGGACCTGTGGATACACCTCATCAGGTCCCATAGACTTGTGCACCTTCAGGTTCCTTAGATGTACTTGATCCTGATCTCCTACAACTGGCTCTTCATTCTCCCAGCCCCTGCCTTTGCCTTCTGTGGCTGGAGAACTTGCCATTGAAAACTGAGGCAAAAAGTTTGTTGAGTACCTCAGCTTTCTCCATGTCCTGGGTAACCACATCTCCCATATCTTCCAGAGAAGATTCACATTCACCCTGGTCTTCCTTTTATCACTGGTGCACCTATAGAAGATTTTCCTGTTCCTGCTGACATCTCTGGCCAGCTTTAATTCTATCAGAGATTTAGCTTTCCTAACCTGATTCCTGTTTCCCACTTTCTCAGCATTTCTCCCAGGCAACCTGTTCTTGCTTCTAGCCTCTGTAAGGCTTCCTTTTTGTGTTTGAGTTTGGCCAGGAGCTCCTCATTTATCCATGCAGGCCTTATGGTATTTTTTGCCTGAGTTTTTTATTGTTAGGATGCATCACTCCTGAATTTAGATGCAGATGAGATGCAACTCTGAAAGCCCTTTAATTTCCCTTCTGGAAGAATACAGTGCCAGGGTACCTTAACAGGTTTTGAATAGGACCATGCTGGAAATGGGAGGCAGGGAGGGAGGCAGGGAGGGAATCAGTGCTACTGGGACTCCCATTGGGCACATACGTATTTCAGTAACTGAGCGTCAGCGCAGGATGAGCAGAAAACTTAGTCAAGAAATAATTTCAACAGGTATCAACTGCTGAGAAGATTTTCAATGAAGCACAAAGATTTATTCTAACACGTTTTGCTAGGAGGAGAAATACTTTCCTGGCAGTATATTCAAGTAGCACTTCTGTCCTATATGAAACTCAGAGAGGAACTTAGAAGGGGGCCTAACATCATTGTAAATGCAGGTTATCATTTAATCCAAATCCAAAAATGCTTCTCAAGCTCAGCCCTGTGAGCAGATTGCTGTCTGTGGATACTTTGCAGAGAAACACACACAGCACTGTTGTACCACTTTGAGGAGTGTCCTCTCTGCTAGCCCAAAGCAGGACTCACATTGAAAAATCTCAGAATAACTTCTTCCTTCTCTGTGTAGTTATGTAAGGCTTTTTATAAAAAAATGATCTTTCAACTCAGGCTTACAGTGATAACAGTATAATAATGGTGTTTCCAACAGTGTGCAGCTCTCCCCAAGAGATGTTGGAAGATACTTTGTCAAATTAGTTCCTCAACATCACTAAGTCTGGGGAAAAAGCACAGATCAGTAGTTGGGCCTGTGCCCTTCTACCCTAGTGGAGGCTGGAATAGTGTTTCTACCAATAATAGCCTCAATCAGGCAATCAAGCCGCTCTTGCTCTGAAGAAAAGTCTTCCTAAAACTCAAGACAAGACTTCAATTACACAATCACATACTATTCTGGCTTTAAGAGACTGGATGGTGTGTCTTGAATGAAGAAGAATGAAATGGGTTTAAGTCACTTTCTACTCCTGAAACAGGAGTAGAAAAGAATGCTATTGAGTTTTTAAAATGAGGTTAACTTTCTCTGCAGACAACAGGACACAAAGCCACTTAAAATATCTGGTAACTATTATATAATGCTTTTTTAAAACTTTCCCTGTTCGATCCAGCTTCAACTGGCATATGTACTAAAGTCAGTGGAAGTCTTTTTGCTGACATCAATGGGTTCTGAATTAGGACCTCATTGCTTGCAACCCAGCTTGTGTGCTACATTAATTCAGAAATGGGTTTTAACAGATTCTTTCACCTAACAGTCTCCTGAGCTGAGCACTGAGAGACAGAGGGCTTTTTTTTCCCCTCTTTCTGGAGGACAGCAAGGCACAGCACAGCAATAGCTACAGTGTGATCTGAACTTTGTGAGTGCAATTTCCAAAAGGCAGAAACAGCTTTTCACAGGAAAAATGTTCTGTAAGTGTTAAACACAACAAAACAAAACAAAACAAAACAAAACAAAACAAAACAAAACAAAACAGTTACAGAAAGCTATTCCAGTAACAACCTGGACCAGGAACATATAAATCATAATAAGAATATGAGTGGACACGGTTTGGAGAAAGGCAACAGAACCACTTCTGGAGAACAACTGACATACCAAGAGCTTTACAAGTTGTACTGTGGTATAGAAATAATATATTAACCTTAGTACTGCCATCAAGCACTTCCAGTGGACACACACTCCAGCTTGGTGTAAATGAGGTGATAAGGGACCAGAGTACTGCTGTCATCCTGTCACTCACTGCTCCCCCACCCTGGAATCATACAATTAACACAGCTTTGCTGTACAGGGGAATGTTCTTATAAACTGTTGTTCTGCTCATAACTTCAGCTCCATTTAAGATTATGAAAGTAAACAGTTTTGGTTCCCCTAGCTTTTTAAAAGAAAGAGTCTGCTTAAGCATTCTGTTTTTATTCACCTGGGAGATGCCTGTTTTCACATTATCCTTGGTGGACCAATAGCACATGAAGATTACTGGCTTTCAGACAAGAGGTTTTACAGTCCATCAGGTCCATTCACAGATTTGTTTATTAAAATGGTACTTGTGTATAGTTTTACTGATATGAGTTTGGATTAGTGCCACTGTTTTCTTCCCCCCAAGGACAAAGAGCTCTTGCTCCCTCACACAGCCATTCCCAGCTGAGCTCTGGAACACAGGGCAACCACAAGCTCTTGTGGCTGGTGGTCACACCAGCGGCCACCCAACCCTAAAAACCACAGCTTTGAATGCAGCCTGTTTTGTGTCTCTGTGCTGACCACCCACAACCAGCGGTGGGCACTGGCTCACGTGGTTACACTGTAACAGACCCCAGCAAAGCAAGGAATAAATTCTTCTGACCCAAGTTCTCAGACCCAGCCATTTCCCCAAGGATACATTGCAGTGCCTCTGAAGTGCAGCACAGTGGCCAACACCATTGTGGGGAAGACAGCTGGAGCTGCAGACTTCCAGTTTTTGCCAAGCCTGTGCTGCCTTTCACAAAGCACACGATGTCCTGCCCTTGTGGGATCAGAGTACGTGAGAACATCCCCTCTACACAGACACTGCATTAAACACACATCCTGGCTGTCCTTCACAGCCCAGCACATGTTTATTCCTTCTCTTACCAAAGTCCAAATTTGCATCCTCAACTGCATGGGCAAAGAATGCAGCATCAAAGGATGCTGCCCTGAATTCCTTGCAATGGGGGTCACTGCTGCCTGAGTGAGCACAAGTCATACACCAGTTATGTGTCCAGAGAGGAACCAGACAGAAACAATTCACATCACAGGAAATACATCGTCCTCAATGTCACATACAAGTCTATGCAGGACTGGACAGCAGTGATCAACTGATCCAAGTTTACAGCTAGTGTGTCTTCATTGTCCCATATCAATCAAATCCCAACTTCCATAAGCAGGCCCATAACAGTGATGGTGGATGACCTGAACTTTGCAGTCCATCAAACTCTCAAGTAACATTCAAGATGCAGTGGAAGAGAGAACCTGGCCAACACTGAAGAAAAGGATGTAGGAATAATGGATGAGTGGATAAAGGGAAAAAGAAGAGTTCTTAACATCTGAGGAAGACATTCATGCTTCAGCATGACATGACACAAGATGAGGTGAGCTTCTATTAACAGCTCATGGAAAAACAAAGGAACCCTAAAACTCTGCATCACAATCCACAAGACACCCAGCCTGAAGAAACAATTCAGTTGAGACTTGAGCTCTTTCAGATAAAATGCAGCTTATTCAACTAATCAAAGTTTTCCCTATGAGCACAGTGAGCAAGGTTTAATTAGGAACATAATGTAATGTGTGAAGGACATTTTGTTAAAAATACACTGCATGTACTGAGGAACTCTGCTTTTTTTCATACAGTGTGACATACAACAGGCACTGAACCAAAACACCACAGAAATATGTGGTTTATGCTATCCCATTGGACTACCAAACAACATTTAACATAAAGTATTGCAGATATATAATAGAGGACGTCTAAATGTTCCTTTACAGTATTGCCACAATAACTGCTTTTCTTTCATGTTACCACAGCCATTACTAGAGAGCTAACACCAAAAGTCATCATAAAGAATGTCTAAACCTCATTTGGAAAATATATATAACCTCTTTTGTTACTCCTTCTTCTCTGTGTTCTAATCTAGACTTAATATTAAACCCAGCTTTGTTTTTTCTTAGCAGCAAAAATTAGAAGCACCTCTATTCAAGTCAATACAATTATTTCAATATGAAGAAGGAATCAGCCATCTGCAAAAAACAGTCTAACAGGTAATTTTCCACTGACAGCTCTTACCATAAAACAGTTGACAGAAACAACACTGTTTCATCTAACACTGAAAGTAAACAATTAATGCAAAATGGACAATGCTTTTAAAGACAATAGGTCTTCCATCTATGCCCTTAATACATAATTATTTTCATCTTAGTAAGCGGACACTTAGGAAGGACCACCATCAAATTATAGATGGAGCCTATTAATCACACAAAACAGGCAGCTGAATATCTCTATTTATTTATGCATTATTTTACTTTTTGATCCCCCCTTGGAAAGCATGTGGAATCTATGAGACATTTTCATGCATCATTTCTTGTAGAAGAACATCAAGTGACCTTTTTTGCCCTCAGGCAAACTTCTCTTATCTGATCTCAGTAACTGTCCATATCAAAAACATTTTCCATACCTTGTGTAAGCAGCTGGAGGTTTCGGACTTCTTCCCTCACCTTCAGCTGAAGGACTTGCTGCAGAATGTGCTGTCTCAGGCTTTCCTGGGCAATGCCCATTCGTTCAAGCTTTTTGTCAGTAAGTCTCAGCAAAGCACGGCCTGGAAGAAAAAGCCAAGAAGAAAAATCACCCAAGAATTTCCATTAGTGCAATAGGCTCACTCTGACACAATAATTCACTACAGAAAAAATTCTCAGCCCTGAAATACCTTATTCTGAGCAGACATTGTTCCATCTGTTAGGTACTCCCTTACTGTTAGAGACCTATGTGCTACTCCTCCCTTTTCTATTGTTTTTCTCTATTGTTTAGGTGCTTTGTGAGATACAGGCATGTAAAAGAGGAATCTTGTGCCATTTTAGACAGCCAGTTGCTGTTCTTAAGGGCCAGTTGTTCTCCCATGGGAAGGACAACCCCTGTAAGTCTACAACTGACATAGGTCCCTAAATAGACTCTCACCTATTTTCAAACACCATGTCAAGAAATGAGTGAAAACCAATGACTGTGGGTTTTACAAATTAAATCAATTTAAGATATATCAGTGATGAATATTGTTGCAATTCAGATATATCTATAGTTTACCAGCACCATTTCCCAGCATGGTTCTGTACTTCATGGTTCAGACTTCCAAATCCCTCTTAACAATAAACTGTCACAGCAAAATTGGGAAAAAATCCCCAGAGATTTCTATCAGTTGTATCTAAAACATTCCCAAAAAAAATATTTTGTCCAACTATAAAAAACCATCTGGTCTTTGCAGGCATTCACTCCCAGTTTGTGACTTATCTTAAGTATTAGGTAATGTTAAAACACAGCCCCAGGCAGATTGTAGATGTTAAAAAAATCAAACAATCTACAATTCTGATAGTGGAACTCTGACTCCATCTTTTGGGCATGGCTGTGCTATAAATAAACAGGAGCAAAGCTGTACCCTGGCTGAGCCAACAATAAGGAATTATTTGAACCAAGCAGAGAATTAAAGCATCAAGCAGAATTTTACCCTAGGAAGAAAATGAAAACTTACTCTCTTTGGCCTTGCCCACTGCTGTGAGGTAGTACAGGGAGGAGTGTTGTGCAGCCCCCTACTGACTCTTGATTGCCACTATGCACATTTGCTATCTAAAGGTGCCCTGGCCAATGAAAACAAATCAAACTGGAGCTACATGGATACTACCTTGAAAATGTCATGTTTGTTTTAAACAGGTTCAACTTTTTACCTCCTCTGTTTTTTAATTATGAAAAATCCCTTCTTTGACTCCTCAGGCCTTATTCTGAAACCAGAAGATATCAAGAAGCAAGTTATTCCCTCTGCAACACAGCAGCCTCTGTGCTACCATTACTGTGGCTTTTGGATGAATGCTACAATTTAGCTCATTAGAAACTGTTACTCAACACAGCAGGATAAGGCCCTTATTCAACATCTTTCTCTGCAAACTAGCAAGGAGTAGAGAATTTTTATAATTATTTTAATTAAAAAATTTAAGATAAATGCTAAAAATTTAAAGGGGCACAGAATATCTGCCCCAAACCAAGGAGTTAACAGCATGCCTTTCACAAACAGCTATATTTCACTCACAAGCAGATCTACAGGATCTTGATATGACACAATGTAAAATAGTGGGATATTACTATTAATAAAGCAAGATGTTATTGATCAGATAAAAATGACAGCATTCATAGATTTTCAGCCCTTCTGCATCTCTCAAACACTACACACTACAATGGATGACCTTTTGACAAGGAAACCTTTCTTTGAAATCACAGACAAGAAGAATTCTAAGGGTTAATGTAATAACCAACTATTGAATTTAAGTCTCTTGCAGATCAATGCCAGCTGTCCAATTCTCCTGGTGATAAAGGCAGCAATAATGACTTCAATTTTTATATTGTCTTATCACACTAAAATATCTTAAAGCAATTTATAAAGGATGTACAACAGTTCAAGAGTATGGTCTGTAATGTCAAATTAGCAACTGAAAGCAAATAAGAATACAAGACACCAGTTTAAAGAGTGCCAACACATGTCATCTTAGGGCAGTGAGTCAGCAACAGCAATATGAAAGGACAGACAGAGACCATGCATCTCAGCCAGTGCCCTCCACCTCTTCTTGGCCATAGATACAGTCATTACTCTTTCCTTCCTCTGAGCAACTCTTTAGTTCATATTCAAATCGTTCTTCTACCCCAGCCACTGCCTTTGGAAGTTGAGTGTGCACAAAACAGAGACATCTCTTTTCAACTCTTGGCGTGTCAGTTCTTCTGCTGCTTAGGCTCAAAGCACGATGCTATTGACTCATACTCTCTGTAGCAGCTTGCACAAATTGCCTTAAATTAACTCTTTCTTGCACCAAATCCAAAGTGACATGTCGAGGCAATGATGAGGTGAGAAAGCAAACATCCAAATGTGACATTTCAAGCAGGCACTAAAGGACCTGATTGTGAAAATTCAATCCTCTTCATACCTTCTCTCCCCTCAACACTTAGAACAACAACATCCAAGCCACAAGTGGAATAATTTTCATTCTGACACTAAATCATGCCTTTGAAAAGATATTTTTAGTGCCTGGATCAGTCACTAAAGCCAATTAGTCACTAAGGCCAAGATCCTGACAATCAGCTAATGATTTTGGATGCTTCCCTGTCTTACTTTGTGTATTATGCATATCTGAAAGAGTAATCATTTTGTGCTAAGAACTCTGTGCTATTGAACATTGAAACCAACTGTCCAGAGAATTTGTGGAGTGTCTGTCTTTGGAAGCATTCAAAACCTGTTTGACAGGGTCCTGAGCTGCACTTGTCCCTGCTTTGAGTAGATGATTGCCAGTGATGCCTTCCAACATCATCTGTTCTGTGAAATAACATGTATAAAAGACTTGATCTAAATACCTATTTTCTTTTAAAAAGCTGAGATTAACAAAGGAAATTATTAAGAGTACACAAAAGATGGCCATTTTATCAAGCAACATGGTTAAACAGAGAGACAGCTATACAGTAAAAATTGGGGGTAGATTTTTAATTTTCAGAGAGTGCAGATATATTATCAAAAGCAGAACATTTCTAAGAGTATACACTGATCTATTCTACACATTTTCTAAGAGTATACACTGATCTTTGCTCAGAGACAAGTAGAATGAACTTAACCACCATTGCAGGAAAATTTCCCTACACTGCAGAACAGACACTGCCTCTTAGATGTAGTAGCTACCTGCCCAGCAGGTACATTTTTTTCAAACAGGACATTTTTTTGAAAGCACCTAAACTAAGAGAACCATAAAGGTCCCAGTGACAAACACCTAGGCCTTGGTTCAGCCTAGCTGCAAGGCTGGAAACCAAATGTTTTAAACAAAACTCCACAGCTCCCTCAGTAAATGCACACATCTTTTAACACCTAAACCCCAGCCCTCTCATACTCAGGGCAGATCAGCCATGGAATGTTCTGAGCTACCCTGAGGGCAAACACAAAATATAAAACACTTTCCAGCTTAATAATAGATTGATGGCCTAATTTTTTCTAATATGACTTAGCTGCTACAGATCTCATTGAATCAAGCTGGGAGTAGATGAAAATCTGAATGGAGGGAGAAACATTGCATGCCACAGAACATTAGCATGAGTATAAGCACTGGTCCAATGGGGCTGGCATTGGCCCTTGAGCAAGGAAGGCAGCACACTGCTGTGCCTAATGAGAAATGTTCAGCACTGCTATATCCTACTGCTCTTCCCCCAGTGTACAGACACACAGAGGGACACCTCACAAGAAGCCTTGAAAGAACACTTGCAATGCAGGCAAAGGGCCAGGTAAGAAAGGGCTTATTTAACATGTGGAAAGAACTGAAGAAATGCAGGGAAACAAGAGCAGATAGCAGCGAGAGGCTGATCTGACACAAAACCCTGACAAAAACTATGAGTAATTTAAAGCTGATGAAAATGATAAACCACAAGTGGGAACAAATGATGGTGAGAAATATGGCCAAGACAGGTGACCTTGTCTTCCAAGTACAGTATGAAAGGTATACCTGATTGTCTAGACAAGATGTTCAGTTTACTTACTTGTAAAACTTGAAAAAACAGGAAAATGAGATTTACTAAGCCCCTAAATTATGTAAGATGAAAAATTTTTCAAGTTTATACTTAAATGCTGCAAATGCCATTTTATTCTTAGTTAACAGATAATAGTGTGTTTCTCTAGTTTTTCAAATGTGGTGCTTTTGTGTGTACTTGAAATAGTCTCATCATAGCTTTCCTCTTGCTTTAACAGGGTGATTGTTGGCTGCTCTTGACTGCCTTGGACATATCAAGTAAGAAATTTCCATGACAGAGACACAGGCATAAACATCATTGTTCAGGTGCTGGTGAGACACAAGTATAAAACTCTCATCATATACTCAGGAAAGAATGCAAACAAGAATGGGCAGAGAAAGAGGCTATGATTTCATAGTGAGGAATGGCAAAATTATGAGAGGAAGCAAGAAAAAGAACAGTCATCTACAGAATGAGACTAGCCTCATGATGGCAGTGGGGGGAGATGAACACTGGGAAAAGAGAAGAACTATTAGACTGAATATATATACTATATATATAATACATATAATTCCTGACTATATTAGGGAACTGATTTGAAAAGAGAACAAATGGGTGTGATTACAATTGAAGATGCTGAGTTCAGAAATATCTTTTAAAAGAAACAGCACAAACCAGAAATCAATCAAATTTTCAGAGCAAACTTGGTATAACTTCATGATATTTTCTGGATAACCTATCAGATCTTCTACAGTCCTACATTTTCTGCTTTTCCCATGAGAATTTAAGACCCTGTCTCTCCTTCTCATGCCTGTCTCATAACTAGTCAACCAGACACATCAGCCACTTTGTCATCAATGCCTTGTGGCAAATCTACAGCTCTTCCTGCAAAGGCAGCCAGATCTGATTTGTCTTACTAATCATTTTAGCCCTAAGACTAATGCAGACTCTTGGTAAACTGCAACTTGCATTACCATCCTCTTTGTCCCCCTTCAGATATCTAATATGCCACTAATCAAGGAAGACTTACTTGCTTTAAAAGTAAAAATGGATTAATTTTTCATCAGACTTACCATAGCAGCA